TTGCATATTTTTTATATTGTCCTTTAAGGGAATACTTTGCAGCAAAAATGCACCTTAGATTTACAATATTTAGTTAAGATATTTTGTAATAAAAGTATCATTGAAAAGCAAAAACTTAAAAATTATTAAGGAAGAGAATTTATAGTCGTAAAAATTTTATATGCATTGTAGATTGATTATCCAGAAAAATTTACTCTACTAGTATTTTGAAATTTTATTTTCTCTGCAAGGTTAAAATCTAATAGTCTCAAATGTGTATAAATGAATTAGAAAAAACGATAAAACCTAAATTACCTATGTTGATTAATTTGTATATCCCAGAACTACTTTGACTCTAAAAACATGCACGTATCAACTACTATGAGAAATAACGTTCTTAAGCGGATCAGTTTACACTTTTAGCTAGTATATTACTTTATACTATTTAGTTTTAATATTGCATTTTTGAAAAATTCTACGCTACTTAAATTGCTTTTCATAATAGTCATTTATGTATATGTGCAAATATTTTTTTAAATTTAGTTACATTTATTTATTTTAAACAATATAACATGAATTTTTAGGTCAGTTACACAGACGATAAACCTTGATTTCCTCCTGAGATTAACTTGATAGTAATATAAGTAACCATGACAGCTACTAGCTCATAATGGCCGAAGACAACTTTTAAATTTAAATACGTCAAAATTAATTGTAGCCAATATATTTAAAAGTTGTCTACAGTTACCATTTTTGCTTAGAGAATAGCTAGGAGCTTCGATGTGCTATTGCGAACAAAAATATATGAGAGTAATGTTTTAATGAATTGCAGTATAATTGTACAGGACAACTCCTTTCTGGACTAAATGAGGATTCTTTAAAAATATCTAGCTTTGAAAGTTTTGCAGCTTTTTGTCTAATTTAAGAATTCTTCATCCTCACAACCCTTAGCTGATCTTCATTATTTTACTAAATAAAACGATTTCCCCTAATGAGGCATTTTTTAAACATTTATTTTATTTTAATCACTAATTAGGTTGGAAGAGTAGTTGCCAGAGACGACGATGTGGATCCACGCAATAATGCACTACGTTATATCATGCACAGTCAACCGAGTGAGGAAAACGTTCTTGCTGAGGCACTCTTCACAGTCAGCCCCACAGGAGAGGTGTACACACGCAACACCAAGCTAGATCGTGAGCAGACTCCAGTTATCACCTTCGAAGTGATCGCCGCAGACATCGGCCAACCAGAACTTACGGCAGTTGTTACTGTCATAGTTCGTGTTGAGGATATTAACGATCACGCTCCTGTTTGGCTTTTTCCTGAAGATGCTGATGGCCATCGATCCAGAGTGAATGTGTCTTGCTATACCACCATTGGCACTCTTATCGCGCAGCTAAGAGCTGTGGATCCAGATGAAGGCGTCAGTGGTCAGGTTCGCTACGCAATTTCCAAGGGCAACGAAGCTGGTATCTTTAGTCTTGACCCGAATACCGGCGACCTATATTTAGTTAAATCTCTTCTAGACGTTTTTGAGAAATCACAGGCGAATGAAATAGATAAATTCTCCAATTCAGTATTGAAATTAGATGCAGCTAAACAGAAATCAAACGAGAAATGGGCCTATGACACATCAGAACAAAAGAATAAAGATCAAGAAGCTAGCAAAATAAAGTAAGAAGATATAAAACTTCCCTTCAAATATTTTCATTCATTGTTTGGCGTTTAATCTAAATGTTGTCACCAATATTTTTATTAATCAATTCTAAGTTGCCACTTAATTATACATGTAAGTTAGTTAAAAGACCTCTCCACTTAAGATATATATATATATATATATATATTGTATCTTAACACAAGTGATTGTGCCGTTATAGAAGAGGTAAATATACCTTGAAAGTTAGTTGGCCAAGCAAAGACATTTCTGTTATTGGCAACACGATGC